TTGCTATTGCTATTGCTATTGCTATATTCTAGAAAGGAATGACAACAACACATTCCACAATTCTACTCCTTTCTATTCCCCCCTCCCAATTACTACACTAATGAAACAGCATAATGAAATAATAGAGAGTGTGGCAGGCCAAAGATCCTAAAAAGGAATATGACTGCAGGCCTGACACCTGTATTAATTCAGCCACTGACATTTTATGTAACGCTGGTTTCAGTGTTTTGATTGAGATTGTTCTTTCTGTACTCAGCACTGACTAAATTTCAATTAGAAGAAAAGATTTATAGCAGGTGACACAGCCATAATTAATCCAGGCACATTGTACCTCTGAGCCAGGGTGAGAGACTGAAAGAAAATGTCACTTTCTAAGACATCTTCTTCCTACCTGAGTATACTGTGATTTCCTACTAGACTCAGTGCAAGCAGATACAATAGGTGCCATAGATGCTTTTTCAAAAGGCAATTGGACTTTATTTTTCATTGAAGACGTTTTGTGTCTCATCCAAGAATTTTAGTTTAGTTTAGTTTATTGTCATTGCACCTCATACAATGAAATTAAATGCCATCTTCAGTGTACAGTTTAGCTATAAAAATAAAAACACAAACCCACACCCTTCACATTCTATATCATTGAATTGAAAACCCAATATTGCATTAATATTGCACTATTCCATTGAATTCAATATAGTTACTGCCTTGGGATAGAAACTGTTTTTCAGCTGCCAATTTGTCCTTCTTGAAGCTTCTTCAGTTCTGACTCAATGATGAAGATTGGAAATATTTAAGAGGCATCTAGCTTTTAGCACTCTTTCTGAGAGATCTTGAGGCCACTTGGAAGTTTATCTGTGTTCTCAGGGTCATCTGAATAGTGCAAATGGATGTGGAACCTTCTTGGAACTGTAGAAAGGACTGTGTTTAAACAGGAGATAGGTGGTGTCATATCCCTCCCCCCTCTGTTCAGAAAACGCTGTTCAATCTTAATGTAGATGGTCTCTTTGACCCCACCCCTTTCAAACCGGTGCTCCTCTCTGTCCAGAATGTGGATTTTGCTGTCTTCAAAAGGGTGACCTTTATCTTTCAAATGCAGATGGACTGCTGAATCTTGTCCTGATGAGTTTGTTCTCCTATATTGCACCACAACCACATTTGTGAAGTGGTTGTTTTGTTTCTCCAGTGTACAGTTCTATACATGTCTCACTGCATTCTCCCACATATATCACATTACTCAGTTTGCGTCTGGGTATTTTATCCATGGGGTGGGACAAGCTTCTGTCTTAGTGTATTTTGGGGTCTAAAGTGGGTATGTATACCAGGTTGGTTGAAAATCTGCTTGAGCTTTTCAGATATTCCTGCAACATATGGAATGATTCTCCATAAACATTCAGATATAATAGCATATTATGGTCAATGATGTGTAGTTCTGCCCATTGCCAGACTTCCAAGAGACTGGAAGAGTTTGAATTGCTGGATATTAACAATAGACCACTGTTGTGACTCAGCAGAAGTTTGCTGTGAGTTGAGTCGGGATGCAAGATTAACAATGCAGCTGGGGCTCGTTAGTGGCATCTTCTGGTGATAAAAGAATGGATGGTGCCATGCCCTGGTTGCAGGAGTCAACGTTCATTGATCATCGGTCGTGGTTTGTTTGTGAGAGACACTTGGAGAAG